TACCATACATGGCTACACTGGACTACCATACATGGTCACGCTGTACCACCATACATGGCCACACTGTACTGCCATACATGGCTACACTGTACTACCATACATGGTCACGCTGTACCACTATACATGGCCACACTGTACTGCCATACATGGCTACACTGGACTACCATAGATGACCACACAGTACCACCATACATGGCTACACTGTACTGCCATACATGGCTACACTGTACTGCCATACATGGCTACACTGGACTACCATACATGGCTACACTGTACTGCCATACATGGCTACACTGTACTACCATACATGGTCACGCTGTACCACCATACATGGCCACACTGTACTGCCATACATGGCTACACTGGACTACCATACATGACCACACAGTACCACCATACATGGCCACACTGCATTACCATACATGGCTACACTGGACTGCCATACATGGCCACACTGTATTACCATACATGGCTACACTGTACTACCATACATGGTCAGGCTGTAACACCATACATGGTCACACTGTACTACCATACATGGCTACACTGTACTACCATACATGGTCACGCTGTACCACCATACATGGCCACACTGTAACATACTGGCCACTGTACTACCTACATGGCCACATAGGGGATGTGTTTGAAGAGCTGCGTAATTGAAGATGAAGTAGTCTTGAGTGGCGATGTACATCATTCTGCATGAGTGGAGACCTGCCATATCCCATCATGGAGCTCACTTATTCCCATCATGTACAGGACTGCAGTATCCCATAATGCAGGACTGCCGTCATTCCTCCATCAGTGCAGACCTACCGTCATTCCATCGGTGGACACCTGCCTCATTCCTCATACGGTGGAGGACCTGCACATTCCTACATTCACGCAGACCACCATACATTGCCCATCGTACTACCTTTACTCCCATGTAGACTCCTTTACATGCCATCAAGGGGGATGTATTTAAGAGGCTGCGTAATTTCATAAGGAGGTGAAGTATTCCTGAAGTGGCGACTACTCATTCCTGCATGGTGGAGGACCTGCCATCATTCCTCCATCAGTGGAGGGCCTGCCATTATTCCTCCATCAGTACAGGACCTGCCGTCATTCCTCCATAATTGCAGGACCTGCCGTCATTCCTCCATCAGTGCAGGACCTGCCATCATTCCTCCATCAGTGGAGGACCTGCCGTCATTCCTTCATCGGTGGAGGACCTGCCGTCATTCCTCCATCGGTGGAGGAACCTTTCCATCGTTCATTCCTCCATCGGTGGAGGACCTCCATCATTCCTCCATTACTGCAGGACCTACCATCATTCCCGCATCAGTGGAGGACCTGCCATTATTCCTCCATCAGTGGAGGACTTGCCATTATTCCTCCATCAGTGGAGGGCCTGCCATTATTCCTCCATCAGTGCAGGACCTGCCGTTATTCCTCCATCAGTGCAGGACCTGCCATTATTCCTCCATCAGTGCAGGACCTACCGTCATTCCTTCATCGGTGGAGGACCTGCCGTCATTCCTCCATCGGTGGAGGGCCTGCCATCATTCCTCCATCGGTGGAGGGCCTGCCGTCATTCCTCCATCGGTGGAGGACCTGCCATCATTCCTCCATTATTGCAGGACCTGCCATCATTCCCGCATCAGTGGAGGACCTGCCATCATTCCTCCATCAGTGGAGGACCTGCCATCATTCCTCCATCGGTGGAGGACCTGCCATCATTCCTCCATCGGTGGAGGATATACCATTATTCCTCCATCAGTGGAGGACCTACCATCATTCCTCCATCGGTGGAGGACCCACCATCATTCCTCCATCAGTGGAGGACCCACCATCATTCCTCCATCAGTGGAGGACCTACCATCATTCCTCCATTAGCGGAGGACCTACCATCATTCCTCCATCAGTGGAGGACCTACCATCATTCCTCCATCAGTGGAGGACCTACCATCATTCCTCCATCAGTGGAGGACCTACCATCATTCCTCCATCAGTGGAGGACCTACCATCATTCCTCCATCAGTGGAGGACCTACCATCATTCCTCCATCAGTGGAGGACCTACCATCATTCCTCCATCAGTGGAGGACCTACCATCATTCCTCCATCAGTGGAGGACCTACCATCATTCCTCCATCAGTGGAGGACCTGCCGTCTATCAGTAGTAGTATTAACTCTACCTGGTATTGGTAGTTGTTAAAATTAACGTCTTGTTGGTCATGTGACACCGTTGTTACTTGCTGGTATTGTTATATCTACCCGGGCTGTCTCTCCCCTGGTGTTCATGTCAGTTTTATAGATGGTGCAGGTGGTACACCTGGGTTTAATGGAAATGTTAATGTGGCTCTTAGTGTGGTTCCCTGGCCCTTTCCCTGCTGTGACTCCTGCTGGCACAAGCACCTCAGTTATGTTGCTGGTACAAGTACCTCAGTTATGTTGCTGGTACAAGCACCTCAGTTATGTTGCTGGTACAAGTACCTCGGTTATGCTGTGCTGCTGGTACAAGCACCTCAGTTATGTTGCTGGTACAAGTACCTCGGTTATGCTGTGCTGCTGGTACAAGTACCTCAGTTATGCTGTGCTGCTTTTACAATTACCTCAGTTATGCTGCTGGTACCAGCGCCTCATTTCCGCTGCTGGTACCAGCACCTCATATATGCTGCTGGTACCAGCACCTCATATATGCTACTGGTACCAGCACCTCATATATGCTACTGGTACCAGCACCTCATATATGCTGCTGGTATCAGCACCTTTCAATCATCAGGACACGTACTGATGGCTTCTGACTCAAAGAACTGAATATATCCTCTCCTTCCTTGGATCAAATTTTAATGCCTCCCACTTCCTAAGTGTTGTATGGGTGGGGATATAACCCGTGATCAGAGAGTCAAAACTCCAGACCGACGCTTCTGTACCTTACCAAATATACCTACTAACAATATCTAGCTTCTTGATCCCAAGATCTTGTCCGAGGGCTTCGATCCAGGAAATAAATCGGGTTGCCCAGCAGCCCTCTCCTCTCCCTCTCTTCCTCTTTGAAGTATGGCCTGAAACATTTGTTTAAACGTTCCTTCCCCACCAGTTAATCCTCCTCCCCTCCTTCCTTCCCTCCCTCCATCCTTCCACTCCTCCAGGGCCGTCTCGAGACACCTCGTTACTGTTTCTCCCCAAGTAACTTATACGAGTTTCCAGGAAGTAAATTGGTTTAATTCTTCTCCCCACAAGTTCCCCAATTACGGACACCTTGCCTACCTTCCAGCCCACTACCTGCCCGTTTGTCAGACCTGCCTCCTTGCCTGCCTGCCTTCTTGCTATTGGCTTCTTTCTCAGCCTTGTTGCTAGTGATTACTTGGTAGTGTGTCATATATCACCGTTGATGGTGGCCATGTGTACCTGTCTCGGTACCCACCCCACACTTCACCACCCACCCCACACTTCACCATCCACCCCACACTTCACCACCCCGCACCTTGTTACCCAAAACAAACTTCACAAACCACTCTACACCTCATTACAAATACTACACCTCAACCCCCACTTGACACCCCACACCATCACACTCGCCTCCATCTGACTAGATTATTACCCACGGGAGTCGACTAACACCCAGGTACTTAAGTATTTACTGCTAGGTGAACAACAACAGCAGGTGCTAGGAACCTTACCCATACGTCTCGTAGTGGCCTAATCCATCCAGATTCTGAAGTTAAAAATATATATAATTACGATTCCTCACTCTCTGTATCCCCTTAATATCCCTCCTGTACCCTCTTAGTATCCCTCCTGTATTTTCTCAGTATCCCTCTTGTATCCCAAAGGAGCTTAAATGTGTGTGTGTGTGTATGTGTGTATGATTGTATAGTTTTTATGTACATGTGTACTCATCTGATTATGTATGAAATATGCACATTTGTGTGTGCATTTATTAGTGTATAGTAGTAGTGGTGATGTTGCTAGTAGTGGTGTTGCTAGTAGTGGTGGTGTTGCTAGTGGTGGTCTTGTTAGTAGTGTTGCTAGTGGTGGTCTTGTTAGTAGTAGTGGTCTTGTTAGTAGTAGTGTTGCTAGTGGTGGTCATTGTTAGTAGTAGTGTTGCTAGTGGTGGTCTTGTTAGTAGTGTTGCTAGTGGTGGTCTTGTTAGTAGTAGTGTTGCTAGTGGTGGTCTTGTTAGTGTTGCTAGTGGTGGTCTTGTTAGTGTTGCTAGTGGTGGTCTTGTTAGTAGTGGTGGTCTTGTTAGTAGTAGTGTTGCTAGTGGTGGTCTTGTTAGTAGTAGTGTTGCTAGTGGTGATCTTGTTAGTGTTGCTAGTGGTGGTCTTGTTAGTAGTAGTGGTCTTGTTAGTAGTAGTGTTGCTAGTGGTGGTCTTGTTAGTAGTGTTGCTAGTGGTGATCTTGTTAGTAGTGTTGCTAGTGGTGGTCTTGTTAGTAGTAGTGTTGCTAGTGGTGGTAGTGTTGCTAGTAGTGGTGGTGGTGGTGATGATACACAGTGTGCGACACACCAAATTGGTTTCCGTCAATTTATCGACTTTCATGTCAGTGAGGCTGACGGCCCACCTGGATAATGTTGACCTGTCATGTCTCTACCCCATTACTGTTCCCTTCCCTCCCTTCACCCGTATACTACACCCCCTCTACACTACCCCATTACTGCTACCCCCCATTTCTGTTCATTCATTATGTAATGCACAAGTGTATGGGGTAAAGTTATGATTAGCATTACCTCTATATTAATGGGAAACGTTAAACCCGTCGGGGTCATAAAGGGCTTCATGAATGACAGGTAATTACGTTGTTTAAGGAAAGGTTAGCTGAGATTTCTTAGATAAAGATTTTATCATAATAAAAAAGAAGCGCTTAACCACAAGGGCTTTACAACGCTGTCTTAGATCAAGAGCCCTTTACCGGCGTTACTTAAGGCAGCCGTCCTTGAAGGGTAATTACTGAACAATCTGTTTTTCCATGTCCGAGTATCAGCAGTTGTAATATCAACCCTCTGTATTTCAGAGTTTGAGCTGTGTAGCTGACATGAGAGACTACCATCGTCACCACAAGCATCGTCACCACAACCACCGTCACCACAACCACCGTCACCACAACCACCGTCACCACGTTCATCGTCACCACAACCACCGTCACCACGTTCATCGTCCTCAGCCACCGTCACCACAACCACCACCACTTCCATCACCACCAGCATCTTGCTATGAAGTCCAGCGATGTAAGAGTCCGTTAGAGGGCAACATGTCGCCAACTTGCTGTGTATTCGTCTTTGAATATCATACTCAGAAAATCCATGTTCATACGAACCTTCAAGTGTAACTTGTAGCCCCAACACTATCCACTATGAAAGACTTGCTTGAGGAACAAGACACGCTGAGTAGAAAGTCACATTTTCTTCCCACTTCTAACATGTAACTCTAGGAGTGTTATCGAAAAAAATTGGTACTTCAGTAAGTGTTAATTAGTGCATCTTTACAGTACTAAATCTTACGTAGACTTGAAAATATTGTTTAAAGTGTTATTAGTCAGATACTAAGTGCATATCAGTGTTAATATCGAACAACTGTGATGCTGCCATTATATATATATATATATATATATATATATATATATATATATATATATATAATATATTATATATATATATATATATATATATTATTAACAATGTACATCGAGAAGTCTGTGTACATACGACAGTTTATCGTAGTCCCTCTTTTAGGGATAAACAGGTTCTTGCCTCAGTGTCCAGTTTAACCAAAGAATGATGCTAATGACTACTAGTAGTCGAAGTATTGAAAGTAGTATCACCTTGAGCGAACTCTGAGAGTGAGAGGTATCTGAGGGAGTCGGTGAAGGTGGTTGGTAAGGTTCTGTGGAGTTCCTGCGCTCAATTCACATCTCTAAGCTTCACAAGTATTGGATCTCTACAAGGAGTCTCGGAGCCTCTTGAGAATCTAATAAGTGTCCAATCTCATAAGTAACCGAGATTCATTTTTGGGGGTTTCATGGGGACTGTCGGACAGTCACAGGAAATTTCCAGAACTTTAAAATGAATTTAGGTCTCTACGGAGATTATATATAGAAGCTTCACAAAGTCTCTTGGGGCTTCATAGTCTCTTGAAGCTTCACAAAGAGGCTTGAGGCTTTATAAAATCTCAATAGTTCCTTGTATGAAGTCCACTAGAAGTCTTCGGGTTCCGCAGGGAAATTTTAGAGCCATCAGAGTTTTGAAGTTTCGATGTATGGCAGCTTCGAAATCTTGGCTCATGTCTTTCATTACTTAAACGAAAAAAAAAAAGTTAAAACTCGTCGAATTATGTGGGTATTTATGTTACAAACTAATGTTGTTAATGTTGGTTAACTAACATTACAGATAAGATTTTTTTTTTTTGAGGTTATATTCTGTTCAGTGTAAAGTGAGAGTGACCTTACACGGGTTGGAAATACTTGTTTCCCAGGAGAGTTTATTGATGAACAAGTGAACATGTGCAACAGTCAACCTCGGTGGTAGGCCTTCTAAGTTCTGACTATATTCTGAAAGCCATATTCCTACCCCCCTCCCGGCCCCCATCCGTTTTTACGATGCTCTGTGATGTAGTTTCATTATTTTGTTAATATGAAATACTGGAGGCAAGGTGTTATACACTGCATTATGGTCAGTACCTGTTGGTTTTGACGTCAGGTTACTACATCCGCTTGTAGGGACGTCAGGTGACGGTACTTGCTGGTTGTGATGTTAGGTGTCAGTGCCTGTTGGTTGTGATGTTAGGTTTCAGTGCCTGTTGGTTGTGATGTTAGGTGTCAGTGCCTGCTGGTTGTGATGTCAGGTGCTTATACCTTCTGATAGCACTTCCTGGCTTTGATGTCAGGTAACTGCACTTGCTAGTTGTGACGTCAGGTAACTGCACTTACTGGTTGTGACGTCAGGTGACGGTACTTGCTGGTTGTGACGTCAGGTGACGGTACTTGCTGGTTGTGACGTCAAGTGACGGTAATGAAGTGTAGCTTCAAGGTGGACGATAAGACGAAATTTACCATAATTAATTGTGACTTGTTTACTTGGACGTCCGTTGGCTACGGTAATCCACTCTGGTTTTCTCTCATCTTAATTCACACGAGCATCTCTCTCTCAATAATTGGCATTAACCACCGTAGTCTGTTCCACACAAACTCCAAAACACTCGTTACATTCATGGGGAGAGCGCTAAACCCATCGGGGTCATACAGCACCAACACCTTTAGTCATGTATTTTGCGTTAAGTTGGTCACTCCTCGACTCCAGCTTCTCTCTGCCTTCTAGCACATTTTTTTTTTTTTACAAATCAATTTTACAAGCTTAGAGCTGTTAAGCATTTTAATTATGCCCATTTCCACTTCATGCATAAATCTCCACCTCAAAAAGAATCCCATCACCACTACTTTTATCTGTCTCGACAATTTTCATCACTATCGCACATCACAGGGAAGTTAAAAATCCTTAGGGATCAGGTAACGTCTGGGAAATGAGAGGTAATGAGACTTCATCTAAGGGTAGGGCAACTTCAGCTTTGAAGTAACTTGTAGATGAATGGTTCAGAGAACCGGCAAGCTGATAAATTAGACACATGTGCAACACTTTGGTATCCTTATTGAGGAAACGTTTCGCCACATGGCTTCAACAGTCCATATAAAGGAGAACGGGAAAGAACATGAGTTTGAGGTAATCAGTCCCTCAGACTGATTACCTCAAACTACTCCTGTTCTTCCCCGTTCTCCTTGGTATTGGACTGATGAAGCCACTGTGTGGCGAAACGTTTCCTCAATAAAGATACCCATTATTATTATTATTATTATAATCAATGGGGAAGCACTGAACCCGTAGGATTATACAGCATAAAGATACCCAAGTGTTGCACATGTGTCTAATTTATCAATTTGAAGTAACTTCCGTGTATGATCGAAGATTGTAATTTAAGTGGTTCTCTTGTTAAAGTAGGTAGTACATAAACTAAGTGCAGTATACCACTTCATATTGCAAGGTATGAAATGAACTGCTGATACACCTTCCTCAGCCAAGGCGGCGTAGCAGGTCTGAGCAACAAATCCTGGGCTCTTATTGTTATATTTTATGGGAAGTCAAACCCACAAGGGTCATATTATAGCGCCTGGGGGAACGGGAAGCAATCAAGTTTGATCAGAGGAAGAACATGTTTAATTCCCCGGCTGAAAAGCGATACACCAGCATGAATTACCCTCAGTGGGGGATCCCTGGGTTATAGGTTAACAGGCGAGTTCAGCAGCAACCCCTGGACTGGAGGCCTATACATCCCAAGTTAATCAGCTGGTTGCTGCTCACTGTTCCAAATACTGCTGAGTTTCTTTCGAGTGATTTTTCATCCGCTTCATTTCTTATTTTTTGTGGTTTACGGGAAGCTGCTCGCAGCCTTATAGATACTATAATATTGTTATTTTAGCCACTCCAGTAATTTTTGTAAGAGCTAATTGTAAGAATATTAGGAACATATGCTTAGGCCTGACACGTAGTTCAGTAAGATGCCATAGGTGCTTTACGTAGGACTGACTTTCTCGACATCACTAGCTTATTGCAACAAGTGTTCTCCGATTTATTTGTCTCTGAAAGTTTAGTGATATTCAGCTTCATGCAGTTTTGCATTTTTATGATACTCTTTTCAACAGTAGAGGAAAGCTTTACATTCGGATGTGTCGAATGAATAAGAAGCACAGTGGAACTGTGTTGGGGGTGCAGTAGTCCTGGGTAGTGTAATAGTACAGTGAAGGAGTCTGTATACAAGTTGGATAGCAAGGTTAAGTCTTTCTTCTTCCATAAAATGACTTCGACGCTAACTTGCCAGACTGACCACATCAATGGTCAGGTTAGATTTTCCACCCATGGTCTCTGGGGCGTCGTCTGCTTCTCGAGTTGTGAGTGGCGAAGTCCCCTACTACTAATGTAGTGCCACAGGCATTTGGTAGTACTCATGGAGAAGCCCTAAACCCGTAGGGGTCATCGTGCCTTGGGAAAGCTAATTAGGTTTGTTCCGAGGAAGGGGAGGATAGTTCCAATTAAGAACATACTACAGGAATAACACAGCAGTCCTGAGAGTCAATATTGAACACAGCCTTTTTTTTCCCCCTTCCTTCCCCTGAAGGATACGCTGACAGACGCTAACCTGAAAAAAATAGCAACGAAAATGTCTTCTAAAAAGCAGTGAGGGGTCTCATTCTTGGGGGAACCATTTGTCGATAAAATCTTAAATTTTATTATATTGTTAAAAGTTAATGAACCTGTCCTGGGTTACAGGAAATAGATTGTTTGAACTGTTAACTACTCTATGAAGAGATGCTGTAAGCCTTATAAACATGTCTTTCAGTAAGGCAAAGTTAGACAATTCTTATTCATATAAAAATGTAATTAATGATGTTACTTTATATCTAAAATAATTAAGGTATGTGGAGTAGGGTTTTCCTTGCTGAGGTTTACAACAAAACGTTAAATTTGGTTGTATAGCCACTTGTTAGAACTGCCAATGTACCTACGTGGTAAAACATGTATCAATGCATTTATAGCCTTGCCAACAAATGTATATGCATTCTAATGCACATGCATGTCCGTGCCAACGTATACATACGTGTGCCAGCATCTGCCACACTTCTCAGACCTTACGCAATCCATTGCCTTTATTTGCTCATTTAGGCTACATTAAATTAATAAGCGCCAAACGTGTAAGGGTTAGTCACCGAGTGGGAAATGGCACATGATCTAGTTTGATGCAAGTGAGCACACTTCAGACTCGGGATCAAAATCATCTTGAAAAGTGAAAAGACCTTACATATTCTGTCAAGGAAATTGAAGTTAAATTTTTCACAGCAGCACCCTTCAAGGGAAGTGCCTCGATGCTGGCGAGGATAGTTATCCAGGATCGAACCTGAATGTGCTCCCCATTCCCCAGGTGATATTAAGCCCTATGGGTTTAGCGCTTCCACTGATTTAGGCTAAGAGCTACTGTTATTGGTTGTGACTTGTTCAGCATTTGAATATTCACTGATGGTTTATGGGACAGCCGTCCCAGTGGCTAGGTCTCAAACTATATAAAACCGTCGGCTGCCATCTCTTGTGCAACATCAATTATAATCAAAAGAAAGCGCTAAACCACAAGGGTTATACAGCGCAGCAGGGCAGGGAAGGATGCAGGGGTAGTGGGTAGCAAGAGGGAGGGGGATGATTACTAGGTTATGAAGTGCAGCGGGACAGTGGATAGTGCAGGGATGGAGGTAGCTAGAGTGGAAAGGACTTAGTGCAAGACAGCTTGTGTAGCAAGTTGCTGTCAGCGAGTCTGGATTAAGGAAGGGTCCGTCAACAAGAAGGGAAAATAAAGAAAGGGCAGCAGAGCTGACACGACGTTGGAGGTAAATTTGCTTGTCGGGTCTGCAGTCCAACAGAATGTGGCTAAGGTACTGGAATTTGACAATTCTCAGAGGAACAAGACGCATTTCCACGAGATACCCGTGAGTAAGAGTGGCCGATGCGAAGACGGGAGAGTAGTCTCCCAACCTCTAAACTGATGGCAAGACCGTCAGACACCTATTCGGTTTGTGCAACATCAAGATTTGCATCTCTTCCTTAATCCTCAAGGAAGGTTCGAGGTCGGCGAGTGGGTCTGATTTATTTAAATTTATGCTGGCGAGGGGCTCTAGATCCAAGTATTTGTATTTTTACCCTCTTGAAGCCAGTGCAATGATCTTCCATCACCCCAGGCGATAAAACATCGAAGGTAACTGGTTAAGAGCACAACCCTAGATATTTAACCTGCAGGGATCATACCTTCTCGGTCCGGCTTCCGTATCAACTGCTTGTCTACCAGGCAGTCCATAACCCAGCCGAGAGGTACTATGTTAGTTTGCCCTTTCAAACTACCTTCCAGCAATATTTTCTGATGCGTGCTGGTAATGAAAGGTCATTAAATTCATACGGTTAAAGGTAATTCGACTATCCAAGGAGAAAGTATTCAGATATTTTAGTACTTTCAACAGCAAGAGGAAAGCAACTTGCGGAACAGGAAAGTCATGGTTAACCAGTCCTAAGGATACCAAGCCAGGTTGCTTAAAAAATTGCCTTAGCAGTTGGAATAAGATTGCCTAGATTAATTCTTGACGCTGATCGTACATGAGTATTAATTTTGGTTGGTCCTAAATGTTCCTAACAAAATTGAAGATAACCCAAATCAATTCTAATGGAAGCCAACTCCATTCCCACTATTTCCTTAAACATCCAGGGATCAGTGGTGCTTGCCTGTTCCTCGACAGGTCTACTCTTCGAGTTGCATGTTCAACACCAGGTATTTCAGTGTAGACTTGTCCAAAATACTGCCACAAACCTCCACTCTTCACTATGATTTACATTTTTTTTCTTAAATTTGTGCACGCATTTGTTTTGCGAGCGATATACAGCACATTCGCCCGTGATGCTACAGCTACACAAAAAATCTAATGGGTCAATTTTGCCTGTAACACTGCTTGACCAAGTATGTTGCAGGTACTGCTAGACTGCATTTGAGATAATATATTACGTAGCCAGTAGTCTCGTTAGGAGCATATGGTACGAGTGTCTAGGAAGTACTGTTAACTGGAGAGTCCACTTTGAATGCTACATCAAGCAATAACCAAGTATAAACCTCTGTAGATGTGGCCCAAAATAAACTAGTTTTCTACAAGTGTCTCAAATACATACCTTTAGGATTATGTTTATGGAAGAATGCTAAACTGCAAGGATTATACAGCATGAGGAAATAAATACATACAAGGCCAAATTCGTTTAATCAAAAGTCCTTCACTGGCAACAAGGCACCTTCCAGGTCATCAGTCCCAGCCTAAATACAAAGGTATCAAACTAAGCACTTAACCCAAAAGGGCCATAGAGCTGCAGGATGGGATGTGCTAAGCTCAATGTTCAAAAGTGGGCAAGCAGTGGAGGTAGGAAAGGTAGTGCGAAGTGCTACTAAAGCATCGAAGACAATACTTTCAGGGCAATGAAGACAAATGCAAATTGTATCCAGGGACAGACAGGACATTATGACCAACAGAAAATGTAGGCGATAAGGAGTGGAAGAGCATGAAGTTACCTATAAAATTACCGAGGGAAAAGAAAAAAAGGTGGGTTGTTTTGTATGGGGTAGAAAAAAAAATGCATCAGCACAGTGGTGCCAATGTTTTAATGGATGTGAACTAATTTTAAATGTTGCAACCAAGACACTGGAGGCAGTGATGCACAAGGCAAATAGGAGGTATGATGCTGAGAATTTGTAGTTGGGAGATCTCCAGTATTATCCAGGAGCTGTTTATCTTCTGAACATTTAGAAAAAATGGTGAAAAATTACCAAAGCTGTAAAGGTGGGGTATGGCTGTCCCATGAAATGTTTATCCTGGGAGTGCTAAACCCATAGGGATTATATAGCACCTGTAATGGGGACAGAAGGCAGACCTGATTCAGGAAACAACCACATACAATTACCTAGAGCGAGAGTCCCTCACCAGCATCAAGGAACCTCCCTATGAAATGTTGAAAGGGAGTGTACAAGAGAGGAGTCAAGTGGCTGTTGGAGAGCAACACTAGTAACATAAAGGGATTTAGGGAAACTAGTTTTTTGTCATCGCAGTTGTCTTAACTAGGGAGAATGGCTGGTGTTATAAATTTCATAACTGGTCTAAAGGTAATTAAGTATAATAAAGAGCTTGCTATAGTATGTATAAAAATGGGCCACCACTCACCTCCACAGGGGTGTATGCATGCCCAGTTAGATAACCTTGCACCTGGGTCTAAAATGTGTGAAGCTGCCTCCACATTCATAAAAGATTGTAGAGAAAATACTAGAATTTCATTTACTTATTTATTAAGTTACAGAGTTGAGTATTTCTTTATACATTCCTTTGCCAAACTGTAGTTCTCCAAGTCAAGCACCATTCACAGCACGAACTAGTTCCTATTAAAAAAGAAAATCTACAAATAATATAAACTCACCAGCATATAAAATTTCCAAACCATGCCACAGTCCATTAAAGGATGGTGGGCAACCTAGTTTGATCAAGGGACCACAACTAGATACCATGGTCTCAAAATTAAACACTTTAAACACAAAATTAAGTTTTGTAAGTGTTACCAGGTCTTTAATAGCAAAAAAATTCTATGAAGTAGAAAATATTTCAAGCACACTTTTATATTAGCTCATTTCATTGTTAGAGAATGTGGAAAATCCTGGCTGTAACTACCAGAATTAGCTGAATTCTCATTTCATCTACCACTGTGAAAAGGCTGGAACAATATACTGTAGCAGCCGATCGTCAATGGTATATTTTGATTGGGACTAGTGGTGTGAACACTGCCATAAAGGAAATTCCTGCAACTCACCAGTCTTGTGACCCTCTATGTAAGCATGCCCATCATCGTCTGCAAGGTAATGATCTAGGCTATTATTCACAAAATGGGGAATAGTAAATTAGTAAAAAATGTGGCAGAATTTTTTTTTAAGAGCAAAAATCATGCAGTAAATATTTTCATAAGAAAATTATCAGACAGGCAGGAGAAATTTAATCACAAGGTTTCAGCAGAAAATTTGCGAACCTCTCCCATTATCATCATATTAAAATTAAGGCTTCCCATTAATATAAATTATGAATTACCATTCATTACACAGGAAATCCATCACAGCAAGTGAAGCAAATGGAAAGGAAAATATTCAACACAGTATACAGAAATTCTATACATTTTTTTCTATGGTACAAATAATTTTATAAAACTAATCAAAGCAGTTATTGGCTAAAAATGACTAGGGAAAAAAAAAAACACCATAAGGCTGTACACTAAATCTACCCATGCAACTGGAGGAAGGCAAGGGATGGGATAGTCAAACAATTTAATAATTAAGCCTGACAACCTTAAATTTAATAAAAAAATTTCATTTACTTATTCGGGCATCTCTGAAAATTTAGTCCTCCATCCACACGCAGGTAATGACCATGATACTGGCACAAGTCCTTACGAAGAGAAAAATCACCTAATAAAAAGAAAAAAATTACAAAAACTAAATATACAGAGGTGAATGCTGCTCAATATCACATTTCATCCAAATGATGGTATAGACAATGCCAAAAAATTATTTCATTGTAGACAACTTTCAACTTGTCCCATATAATCAAGTTAAGCACTAACCTGAAAGGGTCACAACGATATCTCCTTTGTATGCATCACCTACTGCAAGTTGCCTGAAAAAAATTATTATATCAGCTCCAGCCATTATAAGTAATTTAATTCCTAACCAAACATCTATCAGTGTCAACAAATATCACCAGATGTTTCTGTCTGAAGACCGTCGTGACAATTTCATCATTCCTTATATCTTATATATTCCAGTAAGGCAACTAAAAAAGTTGGAGTGTTTACCTTGGTAAGCTAACTGCACCTTGCCAATAGTGTGTAACCTGAAAGAATACTAATATTAATTTCTATTTTCACACAGTATTAATACAATTTATAACTAAATCAGCAGTTCCCAACAGCAGGAATTTGAAGTCCATAGGCAAGATATGACGAGGATTAAGAATCTGAAGGTCATGTATTTACAATCTACCTTGGATGCAGTATTTGGGCATAATTCCTTGTCTTTTAAAACTGTGCAAGATATTAGCTACCATCTGGCAAGTGCCATATCAACTACACTGCTGACATCTGGGGTACTTTGGTGGTACACAAAAGTCATCTAAAAGATAATCGTATTAGCCTGACAGCACAAAAGCTGCTAAATTGCTAATGTCTACATTTAACCCTTTGACTGTTGCAAGCCCCTTTCTGAAAGGGTCATTCTATGTAGATTTTTTTGTGGTGGGGGGGGGGGGGGGTTAAAAAAATTCTTGCGGAATACGAGAATCTTTTCCCCGATGACAATGGCACCAAAAGTACAAAATTTGGTCGAAAACGCACAGAATTACGCTTTTGCGAAGTTAGCAGTCTCAGCGACATACGCATTGGCGATTTCACCGAGCCCTGTTTTTGGCCAATTCCATTGTTCCAATTGACCAAACTCCTAGCTATTTCTTTAGAATTCCATTTTTTCTATCAGTCGAGTACAAGAAACCGCCCATTTACAGATTTGAACTGCCAAATAAAGTGGTCAGAAATTGGCAATTTGCCCGATTTCATGCAATTTAAAAAAAGATGCCAATTTCAAAATAGGGTCCAGAATAAACAATGCAGACATTCTTGGCACTTAAATAACATCCTCTGTTCATTAGTCACATCTCTAGGCCCTTCTTATATTACTATTGCTTTCTATTTTGATTTTTATTCATACAAAAAATACAAAATTTACTGTTATGCAGACTACTGCATTATTGTAAAAATAGTATAAATAATATCAGTGCACTAGTGAAAGAATATCAGACTCCCCAGTTGACATGTGGTGTGATTTGCTTACTCCTGAACATTGGTAAAAATTTAACATTTCCGCTACTTTGAGCTCAATTTCAAGATAGTTTTCATCGTGAAACTAATCAAAATAGTCTATTTCTATAATATGTTTTCCATTTTATCACGCGAGACCATGAAAACAAGAATATAACAAATTCTACATGAAAATACACCTCGAAGTTGGCATTAAAAAAATCCTTTTCATTATGCACTGTGTGCTGCAGGATTTCTTTTATGTGGTGCACACAGACCCATTCTCTCACATGTGGGCCTACCAGGTTTCTCCTGCTCTATTTGAAGCCACTAAATTTGAGTATAAATACATCTGAAACAGTGGCATGCAAGACATGTACGACAAAAACAGTCAAAGGGTTAATAGTCCAAAAAATGCCCAGGCACTAAAGCAACATTTCAGTTTATTAAATCACATCCTCTGGCATATCCTACATTACACTTTCCCTACATTTTGAAAATTCACAAATGGAAGATTTACCTTATTTCAAGGATAAAAAGAATGAAGGATCATGGTTTACGACTAATTGGATATAGTGGGGAAGCCTTACCCATCCTCAGGAAAAATAAGTTATGAAGTTTCACACTTTGGGCAACAGCACCTTTCTGAAGAGTTGCTTTGCAGGAGTCGAATACTTTTTTAAAAGGAAAGCTTTAAGTGTGAATGGCCTGAAGCAATGTTTAAGAGCAGGCCTTCAAATGTACACCTATAAAATAGTCAATCATACCTGATCAGTGACAAAGGTTAAGGGAGCGCTAGGGCAATTTTCCGCGCACGCTCAACCAAAAATCGAAATTTATTTATATATACCGAAAAATAGCTTAACTCTTTGGCAACACAATGTTACAAGAATCAATGTTCTAAGACGTTTCTACAAGAAATTATAGTCATTTATATCAGGTATGGTAACGGCGATGTAGGTAACGCGTCTGTTCTCAACCCATGTATTTTTTGGAATTTTTTCCTTGTTTTTTATTGCTTTTTCTTTGCATTATTCTTTCTAATATAATAATTGATTATTTGGCATCATATAAGAGTAGGTGGAGCTTATCAGTAGAGTGCCAGCCAATCGGGAGCCATCTGAGAACACTCGGCAGTACTCCCCCTCCAGATGGTGCCAGGTGAAATCACTTCATTATTACGTTTATATCAGCTTATATATCAACTATACGGCTTATTTGCCTATCAGAATTGATATAATAAACACTATAAATAACAAACATGTTATATACTCTAGACTGAATAAAATAGGCCATAATATAGCGAGAGTCCACCAGCAATATTTCGATATAAATGTGTTACTCCTCGTCTCCTTGTTCTATTGTTTGGTATGAGAGTGATAAAAAACGGTATTTTGAAGAGGATAACTGCACTAGAACATCAGTTTACTAAGAAATACACTAAAAAAAAAAAAAAAAAAAAAAAAAAAGCGATTTCCGCGCAAAAAAAATTTTTGAGACGGTAGGCCTGCCGGCGTTCTAGGCCTATATCTCGGAAGTAACTTTTTCACATATTTCGCTAATGTACACCATTATTAATTATTGTATTGAAATGATTTTCACTGACAATATAAAACAAAATGTTTGAAAATGCGAGGATTCTTTTTTTGGAATATATCAAATATTTATTTTGTGGGAGGTAAAAGGCAGATATTTTGGTGAATGCCAAAAAGTCTATCAAAAGTATTTTTTTTTCCCCATGATAATAAGATATATTAGAAGAAACATGTGCCACCCAAATTAGTGTCAGATGTATTCTAACGGTTGGGACTGTCGGAAGTGCCATTTTGTCATACCTTGCTGCCATATATGAAAAGTCATTAAATATTTTTTTCTCTGTTGTTTGTTGGCCAATCATACTGAAACTGTCACATTCTTCTACATATGAACCTCTAAATGTACACCAAAAATAAAAATTGGTTGAAAAATAAAAGAGTTGGCCGAAATTGGAACTTTCACCCTTAATATGCAGGTGGAATAAAATTGCAAAGCGAGTAAAACTCAAGATGCAATGCGTGTTAATGTTGCAGTAAATCTGTAGTTAAAGAAGTGGGTGGATGTAAGAGGGATAAATTAGAAGGCTGGAATAGTAAAGGGTCTTAAATGAACTAAGTATTGGAAAAACATTATCACTTAAGAACAGGTCTGCATTAGAAGAAAAAAGGGGGAGTATACACCATGAAGTAGTTACAAGCAGAACTGCACAAACCAAATGGATTTAGGAAAGGGGCATAAGTGGTCACATTAAAACATGCAACCAATACTATGTAAGGGTTTGGAGAAAGTTGGTGCATCTACAACAGACCTGAAGGTGCAAGACAATGTATAAATTATGTGGTTGGTATTGCAAATGAATGTACCTGGAAATTTTTTTTGCAGAGCAGTTGTGTACACAAGCTCTAGTTCTGATCAGCAATACTTAAAGAAAAGTTTGATGTTGGTAGGTAAATTATTTTTCTAAGTTGCTAGTTATAAAGGTAATGGGTAAAAAGTAAAGCTTGGAGAAATTATATAAATGGGAACTCAATATTTGTTTAGGACTGAATAGTGCCAAAAGTAATATTTAGAAATATTAGTTTTACAATTAAACTAATATTGTGTGTCACAGTAACACTAGTTACTTGTGAATGTTTTCTTCCCCAACTGGCTGACCAAAATTAGTAAATAAATTTGGTAGATGAACCCAAGGGGATTTTTTTATAGCTTGAAGTTTATGTAAATAGTGATATTTACATTTTGCAATTTAGTGATGCTGGGATCCTATTTGACCCACCAGTTGGACATGTATTGGAGGTGTGATACAATTTGTTTACTTGAAAAAATCAGCAAAAATAAAATTTCTGGTACTGAGATCAATTTCAAAGCTATATTTGGCCCTAAAACATCTCTAATATTGAATCAAATCAATACAATCATACAAAAATACACCAAAAAAGTGGTAGTTTTAAACCAAAAACACTACTACAGTTCTTCCTTATGCATGGCATGCTGCAGGATTTTTTTTATATTGGCCACTTTTCCCACAAAATTCTCATATCTAGGCCCAAATTTACTACTGTTTAAATGAGTGAGCCGTGCTTGTCACATTACTACAGCAGTCAGTGAAAGGGTTAATACAAGAGAAATTATGAAATGGAATAACTAAATTAAAAAAAAAAAATCACTAGTATTTACTCCAATCTTTCCCACATGTTAATTTACCTCAAACCAGCTGTATCTGGAGGCAGTTTTTGAAATTTAGTAATTTACACAGGGGTTACTAGCTCCTTGCTGTCTGGATTTTAGTTCCCTCTAATGATACTTGTGGCTTTCGAAGGACGAATTCCATTCCACTTACCCATCCCATAAAATTACAAGTTATCATATTTAATTCCTTATTTTTTGGCAATCTTTAATGATACCTTCACTGACTGGACATGTACTACTATTAGTAACAAGAATATATGTTGAGGAATAGTGCTGGGGATATAGAATTTAGTTTTCTAATACCACTTTCAGATTTGTCTTGATAAGCAATGGTTTGAAGTATTAACAGATTAAAGTTTAAGGCATGAATGATAGTAAACCCTTGACCATAATGAACACCAAAAGATAACTCACGTGTATCCTGTGATGGAAACCGCCATACGTATGCTGTTTGCTACCGTGTAGTTAGCAAGTCACTACTAAGCAGCTATTTTTGTTCCTAAAGAAAATAACGTTATGTATAAAAAAATTTGTTCAGATACAATTCCTATAAAAATGTACAAGTTATGTGAAAAGTTGAAAGATGTAACCAATATTGAAAAAATATCTACCCTGGGTTAAATATGATATTGCTAGAAATCATATGCAAGCACATTGGGAGTGTCAGGGTACAGATTCAACAGCCTTCCAACACAGTTTACAGGCCATTTTGCTTTTGTATTGCTCTCCCACACCAGTGGGTAGCAGTATCGAGATCTTTGAAATGATAGCTATGTCAAATTATTCAGAGGTTCTGTTACAGAAAGTTAACAGGTTGCAACAGAAGTTCAGATATGAATCTTTAGGTCTTGAATACAGTGAAAATATAAACTGAATTAGCTAGGACATTAATGTCTTATTGCAAAATACACAATCTTATTACATGTAATTTTGTTTGACAGCATCTAGAAAAACATGGCTGTACTCGCCAGAATTTGCTGGACTCTCATTTCCTCTACCATTGTGCGAAGGCTGAAACAAAAGACTGTAGCAGCACTTTATCAATGGCATACTTCAATGGGATTCCTCAAACTAATTTGTTAGGCATGAATAAGAACTGGGGTCCTACTCCATACAATTGGAAGAAAATAGAGAAATTTTCTACAAATTTTGAACACTAATCTTAGAACAAGAATTAAAACAGGCAATGTCAATACTCTTGCTATAAAGGAAATTACTACAACTCGCCAGTAACGTGACTTGGGTATGCCTACCCATGGTGTACGAAACAATTTTGTGGCAGACGAATTTACAAATTCTACAAGCAATGTATTCTCAACATCTTCAACCAGGCAAGAGAAATGTAATGAAGGTTTCAGCAAAAATTTTTGCAAACTTCCATTAGGATTGAGTGAATGATCAAGTTTTTTTTTTTGGGTCACCCTGCCTCAGTGGGGAACGGTTCCCCCCCCCCCAAACAAGTCGGCCGTCTCCCACCGAGGCAGGGTGACCCAAAGAGTAAGAAAATCCCCAAAAAGAAAATACTTTCATCATTCAACACTTTCACCTCACTCAATCACTGTTTTTGCAAAGGCGCCCAGAATACAACAGTTTAGAAGTATATACGTATAAAAATACATATACGTGTATGCACCTGGAGGAGAGAGAGAGATTTTGGGAAATGTTGAGTGAATGCGTGGGGAGTTTTGAATCAAGTGTGAGAGTAATGGTGGTTGGGGATTTCAATGCTAAAGTGGGTAAAAATGTTATGGAGGTAGTAGTAGGTAAATTTGGGGTGCCAGGGGTTAATGTAAATGGGGAGCCTTTAATTGAGCTATGTGTAGAAAGAGATTTGGTAATACATATTTTATGAAAAGAGGATAAATAAACATACAAGGTATGATGTAGCACATAATGAAAGTAGTTTGTTAGATTATGTATTGGTGGATAAAAGGTTGATGGGTAGGCTCCAGGATGTACATGTTTATAGAGGGGCAACTGATATCGGATCATTATTTAGTTGTAGCTACAGTTAGAGTAAGAGGTAGATGGGAAAAGAGGAAGGTGGCAACAGCAAGTAAGAGGGAGGTGAAAGTGTATAAACTAAGGGAGGAGGAAGTTCGGGCGAGATATAAGCAACTATTGGCAGAAAGGTGGGCTAGTGCAAAGATGAGTAGTTGGGGGGTTGAAGAGGGTTGGAATAGTTTTAAAAATGCAGTTCTAGAATGTGGGGCAGAAGTTTGTGGTTATAGGAGGGTGGGGGCAGGAGGAAAGAGGAGCGATTGGTGGTAAAGGGTGTGATAAAAGAGAAAGTTAGCTTATGAGAGGTTTTTACAAAGCAGAAGTGTTATAAGAAAAGCAGAGTATATGGAGAGTAAAAGAAAAGTAAAGTGGCAACAGTGCAAAATGAGAGCAGATAATAGTGGGAGAGGCACTGTCAAGAAATTTTAATGAAAATTAGAAAAATTTTTGGAGCGAGTTAATCAAGTTAAGAAAGCCTAGGGAAAGTATGGATTTGTCAGTTAAAAACAGTAGGGGAGTTAGTAGATGGGGAGAGGGAGGTATTAGGTAGATGGCGAGAATATTTTGAGGAACTTAAATGTTGAGGAAGAAAGGGAGGTGGTAATTTCATGCACTGGCCAGGGAGGTATACCATCTTTTAGGAGTGAAGAAGAGCAGAATGTAAGTGTAGGGGAGGTATGCGAGGCATTACGTAGAATGAAAGGGGGTAAAGCAGCTGGAACTGATGGGATCATGACAAATGTTAAAAGCAGAGGGGGGGGGGGGGGGTTATAGTGTTGAGTGGTTGGTACTTTTGTTTAATAAATGTATGAAAGAGGGGAAGGTACCTAGGGATTGGCAGAGAGCAGTTGTGTATCTTTATACATATATGCTTCTAAGCTGTTGTATTCTGAGCACCTCTGCAAAAGCAGTGATAATATGTGAGTGGGGTGAAAGTGTTGAATGATGAAAGCATTTTCTTTTTGGGGATTTTATTTTTTTTGGTCACCCTGCCTCGGTGGGAGACTACCGACTTGTTGGGGGGGGGGGGGGGGGGACAAGAGAGATTGTAAAAATTATAGAGGAACAAGTTTACAGAGTATACCAGGAAAAGTGTACGGTAGGGTTATAATTGAAAGAATTAAGAGGCAAGACAGAATGTAGGATGGGGGATGAGCAGAGAGGCTTCAGAGTGGGTAGGGGATGTGTAGATCAAGTGTTTACATTGAAGCATACATGTGAACAGTATTTAGATAAAAGTAGGGAAGTTTTTATTGCATTTATGGATTTAGAAAAGGCATATGATAAAGTGGATAGAGGAGCAATGTGGCAGATGTTGCAAGTATATGGAATAGGTGGTAAGTTACTAAATGCTGTAAAGAGTTTTTGAGGATAGCGAGGCTCAGGTTAGGGTGTGTAAAAGAGAGGGAGACTACTTCCTGGTAAAAGTAGGTCTTAGACAGGGATGTGTAATGTCACCATGGTTGTTTAATATATTTATAGATGGGGTTGTAAAAGAAGTAAATGCTAGGGTGTTCGGGAGAGGGGTGGGACTAAATTATGGGAAATCAAATTCAAAATGGGAATTGACACAGTTACTTTTTGCTGATGATACTGTGCTTATGGGAGATTCTAAAGAAAAATTGCAAAGGTTAGTGAATGAGTTTGGGAGCGTGTGTAAAGGTAGAAAGTTGAAGGTGAACATAGAAAAGAGTAAGGTGATGAGGGTATCAAATGATTTAGATAAAGAAAAATTGGGTATCAAATTGGGGAGGAGTATGGAAGAAGTGAATGTTTTCAGATACTTGGGAGTCGACATGTAGGCGGATGGATTTATGAAGGATGAGGTTAATCATAGAATTGATGAGGGAAAAAAGGCGAGTGGTGCATTGTGGTATATGTGGAGTCAAAAAATGTTATCTATGGAGGCAAAGAAGGGAATTATGAAAGTATAGTAGTACAAACACTTATGGATGTGAAGCTTGGGTGGTAAATGCAGCAGCGAGGAGACGGTTGGAGGCAGTAGAGATGTCCTGTCTAAGGGCAATGTGTGGTGTAAATATTATGCAGAAAATTCGGAGTGTGGAAATCAGGAAAAAGGTGTGGAGTTAATAAAAGTATTAGTCAGGGCAGAAGAGGGGTTGAGGTGGTTTGGTCATTTAGAGAATGGATCAAAGTAGAACGACACGGAAAGCATATAAATCTATAGGGGAAGGAAGGCGGTGTAGGGGTCGTCCTGGAAAGGGTTGGAGAGAGGGGGGGGGGGGTAAAGGAGGTTTTGTGGGCGAGGGGCTTGGACTTCCAGCAAGCGTGCGCGAGTGTGTTAGATAGGAGTGAATGGCAACGAATGGTACTTGGGACCTGACGATCTGTTGGAGCGAAAGCAGGGTAATAATTAGTGAAGGGATTCAGGGAAACCGGTTATTTCCATATAGTCGGACTCGAGTTCTGGAAATGGGAAGTACAATGCCTGCACTTTAAAGGAGTTTGGGATATTGGCAGTTTGGAGGGATATGTTGTCTATCTTTATACATATATGCTTCTAAACTGTTGTATTCTGAGCACATCTGCAAAAGCAGTGATAATGTGTGAGTGTGGTGAAAGTGTTGAATGATGATGAAAGTAGTTTCTTTTTGGGGATTTTTTCTTTTTTGGGTCACCCTGCCTCGGTGGGAGACAGCAGACTTGAAAAAAAAATTATATACACATACATACATACATATTGGCAGTTTGGAGGGATATGTTGTGTATCTTTATATGTGTATGCTTCTAGACTGTTGTATTCTGAGCACCTCTGCAAAAACAGTGATAATGTGCGAGTGTGGTGAAAGTGTTGAATGATGAAAGTATTTTCTTTTTGGGGATTTTCTTTTTTGGGTCACCCTGCCTCGGTGGGAGACGGCCGACTTGTTGAAAAAAAAAAAAAAAAAAACATACATACACACAAACACACCTACCATCTGACTTAAGACCTGTTCGACATGCGTCCACTTGACTTACGACCGTATGTTTAATAAAAAAAAGCATTGTAAATATGCATAGGATAAGCTGTAGCACTTTCTACTCCTAGGCTGGTGGCCTAGGAGTAGAAAGCATTGTTGGCAGCAAATTCTTACTACCTAAATTTTGACTAAAGGTCTGTCATTTTAAAATTCAACTAAATCAAATTTCATACTATTCAAATTCATGCCAAACAAGGCTTTGCTGTATATACATTACCTACCGCACATCAGGGCACTCCTGAAAAAATAAAATTCTATCAGCTAGAGCATAATTAGTAATTTAAAGCCTAACTAAACATTATCAGTGTCAACAAGTATCACCAGATATTTGTCTGAAGACCGTCGTGACAATTTCATCATGCCGCTTATATACTTTAGCTAAGGTAAACACTTTTTAAAACCACCTTATCAATGGGGTGATACTGACAAAAACCAGTATGCAAGTGTCTATTCTTTTCAAGTATTAATACAAATTTTTACTAAACCAGTGGTTATCAACAGGGCCCACTTGAATTCCCCAGGGAAGGAATTTCAAGGATTGTGGATTTAGGGAAGCCTGAGATGACTGAGGGAGGAATGCAATTTGGGACCTTGCAAAGTGCAGTGAACTAAACTTGCACATGAGAACCTATTTATAATTAAAGTCAAACTTGCCACAATGTTACAAAATACTTGCAAGCTTACAAATTTATCTGGCACCATTATGCACACTCCATAGTAAGAAACAACCAGACTGCTTGCACGATAGTGCACAAGTTGTCAAGTAATGTACTTTTACACTTTACTAGCACAAACAATCCAATAGCTGTTCCAGCACCAGCTTCCCTACCAGCAGATGGTGTAAAAGCAGCATATTAATTCTGCTGTTGCTGACTACTGATCTTTATTTGCAAACTTAAAATGCAATCTTCCACCTTTGGTTTATTTTCAAAATTTCCCACAAAAAATTTCTGGGTATCACAGTTAAGGGATTAATGGTGAAGTGGATGTTTCCATTTCCACTTGGTATCCAAGGAAAATATAAAATGCTATTCTACAAATATTTACTATAACCTGTCACATACATACCTGACATTGCCATAGTTCTCAATCATCCAAGGGCAGGCACAGGCAGGTATCATCCTGTCCAAGGGTACACATCATAAGTACCAGTAAATAGGAAAGTTATCTAGTAATGTTTAAAACTTTTCATTAATTTTATATGAACTTCATTTTTCAGCATCAGAGTAGGTAAGGGAATAATCATTTATATTACTATCTGTCTACCATCAACATATAACCAGAAACATACAAATTCACATGTTGTTACTTATGTTTGGCTCAAAAGTACACAAAAACAGCACAACTATGCAATAAAAGAGCTATCTTATCTTTACCTTTCACTTTGCATCAAATGGAGGGTTCCAACTGAAGAGACGTATCCTTTGTAATCTGTCTGAAGGAAGTACGTGTTACGATTCAAACCACAACTATGGGGCAGGAGGGTGGACATAAAAAGCTTCAGCTTACCTACTATCTTCAAAAAAGCTTTCAGAGACTCTAGTCTGACTTATTGGGCATATTTCATCATATAAGAGCAAAAATTGCTGACCAATTATACCTATTAAACAAATACTTAAACATACCTAGACAACTGAAGTTTTCCCCATAAATCTGTTAAAGGGAAAAATAATAATTAAAAATTACAACTCATAATTTACATTAGTAATTAAGTTTTTAACACATTGGTGTCTCCCACTGCAGCAGCATAACCCAAAATGCTAAACACTTTCACTATCATTCACACAATCTTTGCAGAGGCTCAGATATGTCACTCCAAACAGCCAATATCCCAAACCCCTCCTCTAACCCATAAACGGTCCAAACGTATATATACGTTATCTACCATAGTGCCCAAATTATTTTAATATGGCACACAGTGAGTGCGCACACCCATTCTCTCATGTCTAAGCGACTCAGGCTTATCATGGCAATGTTAAATGTATGACATAAAACGTATACATACATTTGGGGCACTAGCGGTAAAAACGTATAAATACGTTTGGACCATTTACGGGTTAAAGTGCAGGCATTGTGCTTCCCACCTCCAGCTACCTATGAATTCTCTGCATATTTACACTCATGCTTCACACCCACAGAAGCATTGGTACCACTATACTCTAGTACATTCCTTATTTGCCTATGGGGAATTTTTTTTTGTCTTCAGATACCTCAATGAATCTCCCACCTTTTTTCCTTCACCAATTCTATACCTTACCTTGTCCTTCATAAGCTCATCTGCTGACAAGTATAGTCCCAAATATTTGAACACTCGCTTCCATACAACATCCAAATTTTTCTTTACCTAACTCGCTTTACTCTTATCTATGTTCCTTTTCAACTTTCTTCCTTTACACATTAACATGTATATACATCACCATACTTCTGCATCTGCACATTACCAAAGTTTAAAATCTTTAAAGTGCATGCACAAGCAAATGTACAATCAAATGTCAGATTGGCAACATCAGAAGTTTACTGCAAATTTTCTCTATCAATATAACATACCAACAAGCCTGTAAGCACACTGGCCTATTTTGTACCACAAATTTTGAGCTCGCTTGTTCCTAGTAAAGCAAGCTAAAGCAAAATGTGACTATTCTCCCAATTCATAGAAGATATGACCATACCAATTAATGGACATACCATGGAAATATTGGTTAGCAAATACACAAACAGTGAAACCTGAATTTGTACTGCAACAGATAGTGGGAAGAGTACTTACCTATGATTTTGGAAGCCATGGCCCAAGAGCTGTACCTGAAAGCACTTCACAATTAGCTAGGTAATTAGCAAGTAAATTAAGATTAGTACAATTCTAATCAAATATTGAATTTTATCATTGCATTCAGTATTGCAAGGCTTTTATCATAACTAGTTTAAAATCTAGTTAAATGACAAATTGAGGTTACAGGAAATGCTTATATTTCCCCTTACCTTATGGTGTCTAGGTAAGGGGTTTCCAAACCTCAGCTAAGCAACCATTTTCATGAAGTTTGAGTGTCCATTGACCCCCAAATATTTATGAAAAAATTCAATAAACAGTAGTACTTAAAATTACTATATATACACCTACCATCCGACTTACGACCGAGTTCGGTTCAGAGAAACCGGTCGCAAGGCGAAATGGTCGTAAGTCAAACTTTACTACTGAATAACAAATTTTTGTAATGACTTATTTTGGCATTTCATGTTTTACTTTACTTTTTATGCTGTTAGTACCGTATTTTATACTGTAAGCATACAACACAAATAGTTTTTTATTTCCCAGAAATTTGGCATAAAAAAGTAGCAAGTCGAGTGGTCGTAAGTCTAGCAGGTCGCACGTCGGATGGTAGGTATATTACCTATTTAAAACAAAAGGTTTAACATACCTTTTAATGAGAAGGATGCATCTGATGAGCATCAACAAGGGCATCAATATCTGGTTGGAAATTGGCGAGTTTTAGTCTTAAGTCACCACATTCTTCCAGGTTCAGTCTGTTACACTTGCAAGGCATCATGCCATTCACCAATGAGTTTCTTGGCTACAAGATGGTGTCTCTAAGACACCATGAACAGTACGTATATCGGATACCTTTTCCTCGAGTAATGTGGAAAGTCTTCTGTAGCTGCCAACCATTGCTGGTGCACCATCAGTAGCCACTGTAGTAATATTGCTGATGGGTATATTGTGCTTTTCCAAATATTCCTCCAAACACTGAAAAATTGTTGCACCTTTAAGATACTTGGCAAACAAAAATTCATCAACAATGCACTTTTGACTTCTACTGTAATACTTCACATAGGCCATGAGAATATTTGAGCTGCTGAAAATTGACTCGTCAAGCTGAAGACAAAACTTTGAGTGCTAAAGCTCAGCTGCAAGGGTTTTTTTCAACATCATTGGCCATCTCGTCAATCAGTTGTACTGTATCGTCACTTAATGACAGACATTTTAGGGTAGGCTGAGTCTTTATTCATAACAGTTTCAATCACCTCTAATTGCTGGAATTATCTCCTCGCCAATTTTAGGCGATTTTCCTTTCTTTGCTATTGTGAGGGAGATATTGTATGATGCCTTCAGTCCTCCTTTATCAACATTTGCAGGAGCTTTGAAAAATGTCTTCAAATTTGGTCTATTTTTAATTTTTTCTTTCAGTGTCTTAAAATAATCAAGGTCTATTTTTTCATCAGAGTGAACCCTTCCAAGATGATCTTTCATCTTTGAAGGTTTCATGGCTTCATTACTGAAAGTCTTTTCACATAATAGGCACATAGGCATTGTTTCATTGGTAAATGAAGTTACGAATCCAAATTTTAAATATTCTTGTGAATACTGTTTGCACTTTCTTGGTAACAGCAGCTGCCATTATGGGTCACAATGCAGAATTTATAGTAAATGCTCAGCAATCATTACTAGCACCACTATCACTATGGGAGTTTCGAATATACTGGCCTTCCAATAGTTTGAGGTGTGGTATTTCTCGATACAGGAAGAGGAAGGTGGAATGTCAGGTACACAATGCAGAGCACTTCCCCCAGACATTTACTAACCCCCATCCATTTATCGACCCCTTCAATAGTCCCATCAACCCGGAGAGGGAGTGTCAATAGTGACCGTGTTGAAGAACCTGGCTAGATGACCATGTGCAACACTACCTGTAAATTTTTTGAAGTTTAGCTACATAATTAAAGAAAGTTTCTATATTATTATAATTCATATCAGGTAAATCCTATAATGATTATCATTATGATCAGTATTGCAAGGATTTCATCATGCACAGCAGCAAACAGTCTTGTCAATAATCCAATAGTACAGCTCACAAAAAACAAGCCAGGACAGTCAGGAAAGATTCACAAGCTGTAGTCCCTGAAAATTCACCTTGTGCTAAAGCAGATAGCATCCAACATGGTTGCAACTCCATATTCATATATTTACATTCAAACTTTACAAATGCAATGAAAGTACTTAAACAGGTTTTCAGAGTAGCAATTTAATTAAATTGCTCAAATGACCCAATAAAAACTTGGGCAATTTACTGCTTCTAACATTGTATATATATGTACATTGAAAACAATGTATAGCACACACAATGACCAACTAATAAAAACATTAAAAATATAAAGCTTTCAGCTTGGCTGATTTCATAGGTCTGAAAAATTACTTGGGTGGGCCGAACTGGAATGACCTGACTATGGGTCGGGTAGGTGGTGATTCCGATATGACGTTTTCCAGGGCATAGCTGCTCAGACAACTTGTGTTCCAAACAGGGAAATCAGATCAAGCAAAAATGATCCTAAATGGATGAACATTAGATTAAAACATCTCAATGGTCAAGAGAGAGGCATATATAGGCAAATCAAAAGAGGAGAGGTGCAATTAAGAAAACAATATTCAGCTAAAGAGAAAAAAAAAGGGAATAAGAAAAGCAGAGAAATTATGAGTTAAAAGTTGCAAGAGAATCGAAGATTAACCCAAAAGGATTCTTTCAGGTATACAAAAGTAAGATCAGGGACAAGATAGGCCCACTCGAAAGTTCCTCGGGTCAGCTCACAGAGTGTAATTTTTAACACTTACTTCTCAGTTTTTACTCAGGAAGATACTAGCGATATTCCAGAAATAATAAATTATGTAGAACAGGATGATAAACTATGCACGATTTGTGTCACAAGTGACATGGTCCTTAGGCAAATTGATAAATTAAAACCTAACATATCCCAAGGCCCTGATGAACTGTATGCAAGGGTTCTAAAGGAATGTAAAGGAGCTTAGCAAACCTCTGGCTAATCTTTTCAATATATCACTACAGACTGGCATGGTGCCAGATAAGTGGAAAATGGCAAATGTGACACCTATTTTCAAAGCAGGCGACAGGTCCTTAGCTTCGAACTATAGACCAATAAGCCTAACCTTCATAGTGGGAAAATTTATGGAATCAATAATTGCCAAGGCAGTTCGTAGCCACCTTGAAAAGCACAAGTTAATCAACGAATCTCGGCATAGTTTTGCAAAGGGGCGTTCCTGCCTTACAAATTTATTAACTTTCTTCACCAAGGTATTTGAGGAGGTAGATCATGGTAATGAATATGTGTATATGGACTTCAGGAAGGCTTTTGACAGGGTCCCACATCAGAGACCCTTGAGGAAAATTAAGGCACATGGAATAGAAATTTTTTCCTGGATAGAGGCATGGTTGACAAATAGGCAGCAATGTGTTTGCATAAATGGGGAGAAAGCAGAGTGTGGAAGCGTCATGAGCAGTGTTCCACAGGGGTCAGCGTTGGGCCTCCTGTTCACAATCTACATAAACGACACTGACGAGGGCATAAAGAGCGACATAAGCAAGTTTGCCGATGACACCAAAGTAGGCCGTCGAATTCATTCTGACGAGGACATTAGACCACTCCAGGAAGATTTGAATAGACTGTTGCAGTGGTCGAAGTGGCAGATCCAGTTTAATATAGACAAATGCCAAGTTCTAAATGTTGGACAGGAAAATAACCATGCCACATATAAACTAAATAATGTCGATCTTAATATTACGGATTGCGAAAAAGATTTAGAAGTTCTGGTTAGCAGTAATCTGAAACCAAGACAACAGTGCATAAGTGTTCGCAACAAAGCTAACAGAATCCTTGGCTTTATATCAAGAAGCACAAATAATAGGAGTCCTCAGGTTGTTCAACTATATCCTTGGTTAGACCTCATTGGATTATGCGGCAGTCTTGGTCAGCGTATTACAGAATGGATATAAATGCTCTGGAAAACACACAGAGGAGGATGACAAAGTTGATCCCAAGTATCAGAAATCTTCCCTATGAGGATAGACCGAGGACCTTGAATCTGCACTCTAGAAAGGCGTAGAATTAGGGGGGATATGATTGAGGTGTATAAATGGAAGACAGGAATAAAAAGGATGTAAATCACGTGCTGAAAATATCTAGCCTAGACAGGACTCTTAGCAATGGTTTTAAGTTGGAAAAATTTCAATTCAGGAAGGATATAGGAAAGCACTGGTTTGGTAATAGAGTTGTGGATGGGTGGAACAAACTCCCAAGTACAGTTATTGAGGCTAAAACATTTTGTAGTTTTAAAAATAGGTTAGACAAATACACGAGTGAGTGTGGGTGGGTGCAAGTTGGACCCGATTAGCTTGTGCTACTGTGTCCTGACCTGACTAGGTTGGGGCATTGGCTCAAGCCGGTAGGAGACTTAGACCTGCCTCGTATGGGCCAGTAGGCCTGCTGCAGTATTCCTTCTTTGTGTTCTTATTTACTATTGTTTCAGGTTTCACCTTTACATTTACTACACCAAGGTACAAAACATTCAAAGCTTTCTCAATCCACAGGATATACAACAGCTTTCTATCCACATGTAGAAGTTATCAGGGCAACATATTTCAGTTTGCACCGACATTGTGTTATCTTGAGAGTTTTCATCCCGTCCGCCAGAATATGTATCAACCCTTAAACTGTCCAAACAGACCTTCGTTCACGTGCATAGCGCTCCGAATGTAGATTAAAGTTTTATTTTGCATGCTTTCAAATGTAAAAAAAAATGTAAACCTACATTTGGAGAGCTATGCATGTGAACAGATTATATTTGTAGCGCTCTGACCTTGATTTTCTCCCTAAACAATGTAAAAAAAAGGTAGATCTACATTCGGAGCTCTACGCGAGCAAATGTAGATCTACGTTTTTTCAACATTTGAAAGTATGTATGTAAAAAAAAAGTAGATCTTTTCTTTTTTTACATTTGAAAAATTAAAAAAAAAAAACTGATTACTTTTTTGTTATATTTGAAAATATGTAAAAAAAAAAAAACAGATCTACTTTTGGAGCACTACGCATGAGAACGTAGACCTACTTGGACAGTTTAAGTGTTAAGGGTTAACACCAATGGAATGCAATTCATATTTAATGCTGTACACATTGTGTACATTAGTATGCTATTGGTGCTCATCTGAAAACCTCTTTAGATTTTAACTGCATTTCTATCATGCCTAAATGTATGTAGAGAAAATTCTCCAGTAAAGGGGGATAACTCAGCCCTCCTGGAAGGGGCTAGGGGACTCTTCCTTCCTTGTTAAGTTTTATGATGAACATATGTACTATAGTGTCATGAGGCACGCTTTCCTTGCTCGAGTTCCTGATCAACCACGCAGCGAGGGTTAACTATAGCAATAACTCTCCTTAGCAGGCAAACTAAGCAAAAACTTGCACCCCACTATCTACAAGTTTAGACTATTAAGAATTCTAGTCTATAGATATCAAGAAACCTACCCTCTTGTACCGAATACTGTTGCAATGTGTAGCAAGGAAGATATATAAAGCAGTTCCGAATATCCTTTGTGCGGATGAGGAGCTGGAGGGCAATGAAGGCAGTGGGCCGCAGATTGCTTCGAGGAACAGTTGTCATGAGGCCATTGCCTCATCCTTAAAAGACAAAGGGACAGTAGTGACCAGTGTATTCTTCATCTTGTTCATTCAGACACTCTCGGGAAACTAAGAAAGGCTAGTTTTCTTATTCGAGTCAGGAAATTTGCAGTAGAACTAATCACGTAGCGTTTATTGTGTGTTCCCCCTGCTGTGGATAATTCCACGAAGCTATGAACAAATGATGGTATTGAATAATGAAGTGCAACTGATGTTTCCCAACAGTGGCAAACATTAGTGCAGAATTACCCCACACAAGCCTTCAGTCAAGCTACCGATATCAGCCTTAACGGCATTGTCAAAGCTATTAAGTTGGCATTACACGAGCAAGGTAAGGCTTAATCTCATTTGTATCGGCATAAAGAACTAGTCCTTGGGCAGACATGATTAGGGGTGCCCTATTCAAGGTCGTAATTAGAGGGATTTACGCCAAAACCAAGAGAGTACCATTACGCATTTCAGTGAAATTGCTGGATATATGCTCCTTTGGGGCAAGCTGGTTTCTAACCCACTTGTTAATCCACAGCCACAGAGGGATCTGGAATGGCACCCCAAAGGGATGGCCAGGGAGAGGCTGCTGGACAGTGCTGTTAACACAAGCAATGACTCGCTGTTTCATGCAGGAAAGTGCTTATGTAACAGTTCTACAAAAATACAGCATGAAAAATACAATTTAAATGGTTTGGAGAACCGATAAATTGAAGAATGAGGCTTGCAACCTTTGGGAATTTGCAAACTATTCACTAGTCAGTAGCTTCAGTGCAATACAAAAAAACTGATGTAATCAGTCCCTCAGTATGAACTGACTAAGCTGAGGTGCCGTACCCCAAACTAATCCCCCCACCATTTTCTGTAGTGGACTGAAACATTTCTACCAATTTCCAAATGTTGCACAAATGACTATTAATCATGAAAAAGTAGCAGCCATACTTAATCTGATTCCTGCTTCAGCACAAGGTGAGTCAGTGAATTTTTACATCTTCCCTGAAAATTTCAGCTTTTTGGCCATCTTTTCTTTTGGTGACCATTTATGATTACAGCAAGAAAATTTAAAAACTTACCACTTATCCGAAGCTGACCAGCCAACACTTCCACCATTCTGGAACACCTTAAAGGATAAATACTTCCAATTAGTTTCAAGAATATCTTAAAAAGGTATATTTACACATTACAAAAGCAATCTCAGTTCTCCAAGGTAATTGAGCCATCATTCATAAGTCTAGCTAATAATCTCATCATGAGTTTTTTTTTGTACTTTTAAATTTCAGAAGTCACTTTCTGGCAAATGTACCAACAGAAGAAATGAACACATAGGCCTACTGGACCATGCTAGGAATGGGTAACTTGTCCAAACTATTTTTGATGCCCAAAGCTTTTGCTTCAACACCTAAGGAGTTTCTTCCATTTATTTACAACTGCTAAAACAGTACTTTTTATATCCTCCAAATTCAACCTTTGATATTTACAGTACCTTTATTCTATTTTTTCATTGCTACACTAATTTATACTTCTGCACAATGAAAATCCAGCACATTCAGGTCTTAGTAGGTGGATTTCCTATGCAATCAGCATAACTTAGTTAAGCTATGTCCATTAGGCAACAGGTCAGAACCAAGCAACATTCTAAAAATGGTTATACTAATAATAATGAAGCTCTAAACCCTGCTGAACCTGCCTAGCATGAGCCAATAGGCTTGCTAATGTGTTCCAATATAATGCTCTGAAACAGTCTAGTCACTCGAGTCAATAAAGAATAGTTAATTAAACCTATATACCATGGGTCAGTAGGCCTATATGTTCTTATATACCACATAACTTGCCTTTTATCTTCAAGGCTGGCTGACGTGAGAACCAACATATCTACAGTTCTGCAAAACCTGTCAAAGAAATGCTTTAAATAAGTTACGTACAAGTACTTTTAGATTTAGTAGAAAACAGCATAATTTCAGTTCTCCAAGGTAATTATGAGCTGTCATCCTGAAGTCAAGCTTCACTTTTAATATCATCATTCCAGTTACATAAGAGATGCTTCGTAATTTTGGAACAAAACCTAACTAATCGAATTAAAAGCTTTCACGACACCTGCATGCTCCGTAGCCTTCAAGAGCAACCAGGGTTTACTTCAAATACAATGGGTAGATTTTAATTTCAAATTAACTAGCCAATGTATAATAATCTGGTCAATCCATTAAACAATTCACAATTTTTTTCATATCCACAACACTGGAAAAAACCATTTGGCCCACAAAGAAATTTTCTTATTTCGAAGTCAACCTATCTCCAGCTTCATAAATTTGCATCATATTTGCCACTTTAAGAATGTACACGAGTGGGAGGGGTTGGATTTGAGTGGGACTTTCACATCAGAGCTTATTTCTTAGGTAGCATAGAAAATTGGGTTGGGCAAATGTTTTGTTAGTGGGATGAATTGTAAAGGACATGCCTAGTATGGGCCAACAGGCCTGCTGCAGTGTTCCTCCCGACGAATGTGAGTCGACTACTGGGATCGTCACGACGAACAACAAGGAAGGTAAGAATATTGTTGTTGGGGATAGCCAGGTTAGATACATGGATAGGGCATTCTGCTTGAAGGACAGGAGTAGGAGAGAGGGTTTGCTTTCCTGGGGCTGGGATGGAGGACATTGTTAGCCAGCTTGACATCATGAATGGTAATGGGGTTAATCCTATTTGCCTCAGTGCTGGAGGCAATGATGTAGCCAAGCGTAGAAGTATTTAGTTAGAAAGTTCAGGACAGCTATAGACATAATTAGGAAGGGGGGGGCGCCCTGTTATGTGTGGCATTTTGCCAAGAAGAGGTGTTAGTAATGAATGGTTGTCCAGAGCAATTGGTATTAATTGTTGGCTGGATAAACACTAAGGATAATGCAGTACCATTGACAACTGGGACAACTTCTATGGCCGAAATGACATGTATGCCAGGGATGGGGTTCACTTATCCAGGGCAGGTGTGGGTTTTCTTGCTAACTCAGTTGAGGGGGTTGTTAGGACTTTAAACTAGGATTAGTTAGAGGTATGGGTTTAGAAATGATAAATAATGAGTATGGATATACAGTGGACCCCCGCATACCGTTGGCATCACATAACGATTAATCCGCATACCGCTTGCTTTAATCGCAAAAATTTTGCCTCGCATACCGCTTAAAAACCCGCTCACCGCTGTTCGTCCGAGACGCGTCCAATGTGCGCCTTAGCCAGCCTCACATGTTCCGCCGGTGGCATTGTTTACCAGCCAGCCTCCGCGGTAGCATCCAATCGTAACATTTCGTATTATTAGTGTTTTAGGTGATTTTATCTGGAAAATAAGTGACCATGGGCCCCAAGAAAGCTAGTGCCAACCCTACAGCAATAAGGGTGAGAATTACTATAGAGATGAAGAAAAAGATCATTGATAAGTATGAAAGTGGAGTGCGTGTCTCCGAGCTGGCCAGGTTGTATAATAAACCCCAATCAACCATCACTACTATTGGTGGTACAGCTGCTGCTGCTGCTGCTGTAGCATCATTTGCTGCTGCTGTAGCACTGTTATTGGTGTGGCTTATTGAGAATATACCAAGAAACAATTAACCCCAGAGGATTTGCCACCCAGGATAACCCAAAAAAGTCAGTGTCATCGAAGACTAACTTATTTCCATTGGGGTCCTTAATCTTGTCTCCCAGGATGCAACCCACACCAGTCGACTAACACCCAGGTGAACAGGGAAAAATGCCTGGAACTAGTGCTCATATTGGTGAATTTAAAAGCCAGCAAAGGTTGGTTTGAGAGATTTAAGAATCGTAGCGACATACACAGTGTGATAAGGCATGTTCTGGAAGAAAATACCAAAGAGGACCTACAGTACTCAGGAGGAAAAGGCACTCCCAGGACACTGTCATCAGTCATTGCTGCATCTTCAATAAAGGTGTCATTTATTCTTCATTTAGTAGACTAGTACATGCACAATATATACTGTGCATGTACTACTCTACTATTGTGCATGTATCCTTCTCTTTGTGTGTAGGAAAATGTATATTTCACGTGGTAAATTTTTTTTTTTTCGTACTTTTGGGCGTCTTGCACGGATTAATTTGATTTCAATTATTTCTTATGGGGAAAATTCATTCGCATACCAATGAGCCCTCTTGCACGGATTAAAATCGGTATGCGGGGGTCCACTGTATTGACTTTTGCTCTGATATTAAGAATCTTAATAGTAACTGTCATGGAGTAACTCTGGGTAATGATTATTTCAGAAATTGTGTAAAAACAAAGATGAATAGAAAAAATGTGCAGAAGAAAAAACGTATGATGGTATTTTATGCTAACAGTCGAAGTGCAAGAAATAAAATTAATGAACTAGGTTTGGTAGCATGTGCTGGGAACTTTGATATCATTGCATTAACTGAAACATGGTATGATTTAAAGAGTCGGGATATGACTGCTGAGTGTAATATTCAGGGATTTAAGTTGTTCAATGTGGATAGATCTAATGGGAAGGGGGGGGAGGAGTTGCATTATATGTTCGAGAAAATATTAATTGTTGCATAATAACAGGTATAAAAATAGATGGAGCAGTAACAGAATCTGTTTGGGTCGAGTTTGTAGAGGGTCAAGAAAAACTAAATTCTAGGTGTAATATACCGACCTCCAGGCTTGGATCACGATAGAGGGAGACTTCTTTGGGACGAAATTGTTAGGGCTTCTAGACACAATAACAGTCATAGTAGGGGACTTAAACTTTAGTCAAATTGACTGGAATTCTTTGATAGGTAATCTAGAGTCCAGTGACTTTACGGAAACAGTTCAGGACAGTTTTCTGAAGCAGAGCGTAACAGAGCCTACCAGGGGTAATAATTTGCTAGTCTTGTCAAATAAGGAAACTCTTGAATAATCTGGAGATCACTGAAGAGCTTGGCGCAAGTGATCACAAATCCATCACTCTTAGCATTAACTGGGAATGCAAGAATAACAGTAAAAATCCCCGATTTTCGTTCTGCCGATTATAATGGACTTGGAGAACACCTGTCCAATCTTGATTGGGGGTTATCTAGCTAATGATTTTATTGACGATCATACTTATGATTATGAAGGGATTTGCTTTTATGATTGTTTTCTTAATGTACACCATGCCCAGAGTATACATTCCCCAGAGAAATTAGGTCTAATAATAACTATCCCAAATGGGTTAACAGGAGCCTAAAGCATCTATTAGGGCAGAAAAGGGGAATTTATAGGTGCATCAGAAGAGGGGAGGTTAACCTTACTGACCAATATGTTCAGCTTAAAAGGGAAGTAAAAAAGGGGATTAGAAAGGCTAAATGTGACTATGAAATTAGAGTTGCTAATGAATCAAAGACTAATCCAAAGGGGTTCTTTCAAGTGTATAGGACCAAGGTGAAGGAAAAAGTAGGACCTCTGAAAATTGGGAATGGACAGCTGACTGATAATGAACTGGAAATGTGTTCCTTATTTAATGACTATTTTTTGTCAGTTTTTACACAAGATTTAAATGAGATTCCAGTAATTAACAATTATTTAGTTCCTGATGAATTTAAGTTAACTAATATTACTGTCACGAGGGACATGGTTATTAAACAGATAGACAAACTGAAGCAAAATAAGTCCCCGGGACCCGATGAGCTGTTTTCCAGGGTACTTAAGGAATGCAAGATGGAGCTTAGTCAGCCATTAACGAGTGTATTCAATGCATCCATCCTTACCGGTGTTGTGCCAAAGTTGTGGAAGATGGCTAATGTGGTTCCTATATTCAAATCAGGGGATAAGTCCACTCCTTCAAATTACCGTCCAATAAGCCTGACATCTATAGTGGGCAAGTTATTAGAATCAATTATAGCTGACATTATCAGAAGTCACCTTGAGGAGCAAAACTTGATAAATGAATCTCAGCATGGATTCACGAGAGGTCGTTCCTGCCTGACAAACTTGCTGATGTTCTTCAATAGAACATTTGAGGCAGTTGACAGTGATAAGGAATATGATATTGTTTATTTGGATTTTAGTAAAGCCTTCAATAGAGTACCTCACAAGAGACTCAAGAAAAGTGGCAGCTCATGGTATAGGAGGTGAAGTTCTAGCATGGATTGAGGCAT